GACAGTTTTACTCCCTTCTTTCTAATCTGAATGCCTTTTATTTCTCTTTCTTGCCTTGTTGCACTGGCTCTAACCTCTAGTACAATGTTGAATAGTCATGGTACAAGTGGCTGTCCTTGCCTTGTCCTCTGTCTTGTGGGGAGCTATTCCATATTTAAGACCATTAAGTCTGTGGGTTTTTCAGACATGTTCTTTATCAAATTAAGGAAGTTCACTTCTATTTGTAGTTTGTTGAGAGAATTTTTTTTTTTTAATCAGGAATAGAGGTTGGGTACTGCCAAATGCTTTTTGTGTGTCTGTTTAGATGATTGTATAGTTTGGATTTTTTATCGTTAATATGATGAATTACATTGATCAATTTCCAAATGTTAAACCCAGCTGGCACGCCTGGGATAAACCCACTCAGTCATGATGTATTATCACTTTTCCCTGTTGTTGGATTAGATTTGTTAAGAATTTTCGTATTGTATATATGTCCATGCCTCTCTCTCGCCCTGTCACAGCTCACCCTTCCCCCTATACACTAACAAACGTAAGGTAGATAGCTAGTGGGAAGCAGCCGCATGGCACAGGGATATCAGCTCGGTGCTTTGTGACCGCCTGGGGGGGTGGGATAGCGAGGGTGGGAGGGAGGGAGACGCAAGAGGGAAGACATACGGGAACATATGTATATGTATAACTGATTCACTTTGTTATAAAGCAGAAACTAACACACCATTGTAAAGCAATTATACCCCAATAAAGATGTTAAAAAAAAAAAAGGATTTTCGTGCTGATGTTCATGAGGGATATTGATATTTGTTTGTAGTTTTCTTTTCTCAAAATGTCCTTGTCTGGTTTTGATACCAGGGTAATGCTGCCTCACAGAGTGATTTGGGAACTGTTCCCCCTTTTTCAATCTTCTGGAAGAGATTGTGTAGTATTGGCATTATTTACTCATTAAATATTTCATAGAAGTCATCAGTGACTGGGCCTGGAGTTTTCTTTGTGGAAAGGTTCTGAATGATCACTTCAATTTCTTTTAATACTTATAGGACTACTCAGGATATCTTCTTCTACAGTAAGCTTTGGTAGTTTGTCTCTCAATGAATTTATCCATTCTATCTAAGTCACTGAATTTATTAGCAAAAAGGTGTTCATAATATTCCCTTATTATTTTTTTAATATCTGTAGGATCTGTAGTGATGTCACCCTCTTATTCTTGCTACTGGTAATACTGTCTTCTCTCTTGTTGTCCTCATAAGTCTGGCAAGAGGTTTATCAATTTTATTGATACAAAAGCTCAAAGAAACAGCTTTTGACCTCATGAATTTTCCCTATTATTTTTGTTCTATATTTTGTTAATTTCTCTTCTGATCCTTATGATTTCCTTTCTTCTTCTTACTTTGGGTTTAAGTTGCTCTTCTTTTACTAGTTTCTTAAGGTGGAGCCTAGGATAATTGGTTTGAGAACATTCTTTTTTTCCAATATAGATGCTTAGTGCTATAAATTTCCCTCTAAGTATTATTTTAGTCACAGATTGTGACACATTGTGCTATATATGCCATAAACCACAACTCTGTTGTCATTATTTTTGTTTCAAGAGCCAATTATATTTTAAAGAGACTAAAATAATAAGGGAAAATATTATATATTTACTTGTGCAGTTACCACGTCTGATGGTAATGCTCTTCATTCCTTTGTGTAGATCCATATTTCATCTAGTATCACTTTCCTTCTGTTTGAAGGACATCCTTTAACATATTATATTTAGGATCTGCTAGAGGTGAATTCTTTTAGTTTTCATAGGCCTGAGAAGCCTTTATTTTGTTTTTATTCTCTCTCTCTTTTTTTTTGCGGTACGCGGGTCTCTCACCGCTGTGGCCTCTCCCGTTGTGGAGCACAGGCTCCGGACGCACAGGCTCAGCGGCCATGGCTCACGGGCCCAACTGCTCCGCGGCATGTGGGATCTTCCCAGACTGGGGCACGAACACGCATCCCCTGCATCGCCAGGCGGACGCCCAACCACTGCACCACCAGGGAAGCCCTATTTTGTTTTTATTCTTGAAAGACCTTTTTTTTCTGGATATGGACTCTAGGTTGACAGTACATATTTTTTCTTATTCAGTACTTTAGAGATGTTGCTCCACTGCCTTCTCACTTGCGTTGTTTTCTACAAGAAATCTACTGTAATCCTTATCTATGTTCCTCTGTATGTAACATGTTCTTCTCCCCCCACCCTCATCCTTTCCAGCTACTTTTAAGATTTTATCTTTATTATTGATTTTGAGCAATTTACTTATAATATGCCTTAGTGTGGGTTTTCTTCATTTTTGTTGTGCTTGGGTTCATTGACACTCTTGTATTTGTAAGTGTATAGTTTTCATCAAACTTGGAAAGTTTTTGGTCATTATTTCTTCAGATATTTTTCTATTCCTCCCTGTTCACTATTTCAGGGACTCCAATTGCACATATATTAAGCATCTTGAAGTTGTCTCACAGCTCACCAAAGCTCTGTCTCTCTTTTAAATTATTATTTTTGTTTTTTTATTCTCTGTTTCTTTTTGGATAGTTTCTACTGCTGTCTTCAAGTTAACTAATCTGTTCTTCTGCAATGTCTACCCTGCTGTTAATCCCATCCGTTGTGTTTTGCATCTTAGACATTGTAGTTTTCATCTGCAATAGCTTGGTTTAGGATTTTTTATATCCTAAACCAAATATCTTTAATATCCAAACCTATATTTATTGTATGTTCCATCTTTCCTCTAACTTTTTGAACAAATGGAATAGAGTTATAATAACTGGTTTGGCATTTTTGTCTGCTGATTCTAACATCTGTGTCAATTCTGGATCAGCTTCAACTTACTGACTTTTCTCCTCATTATGGGCTGTATTTTCCTGCTTCTTGGCGTGGCTGGTAATTTTTACATTGTTTTCTGTCTTTTATTTTTTTAATTTTGAAAACAAGTTTTTTGAAATAGAGTTGATTTACAATGTTGTGTTAGTTTTAGGTGTATAGCAAAGTGATTCATATATATATGTGTGTGTGTATATATATATATATATAGATTCTTTTTTAGATTCTTTTCCATTATAGGTAATTTTTTACTGAATATCAGACATTGTGACTTTTACCGTGTGGGATGCTGGGTATGTTTGTAGTTCTATAGCTATTCTTGAGCTATGTTCTGGCTTGTTGTTAACTCAGAGACAGTTTGATCCTTTCAAGTCTTACTTTGGTGATTTGCTAAGCACATTTGGACCAGTTCTCAATCTGGGACAAATTATTCTCCAAGGCTTGCCTGAGTAGGCTGCCCAATGCCCTGTGAAATGTGAATTTTTCCAGCAGGCGCTCTTCCCAAATCTGTGTGTGCTCGAAACACTGTTCCCTCTGGTCCTTTTGGGTGGTTCTCTCCCTGACTTTGGGCAATTTCCTCCCACGTATGGGCTGAACAGTTCTGAGCTGAGTGCTCATGCTGGACCTCTCCATACCTCCAGAACTCTCTTTGTAGCTCTCTCCTCTACATTGTTCTGCCCTGGGTACTCTAGCTTCCTTGATTTCCCCAGAATCTCAGCTCAGTCTCCTCAGCTTGAGGATTTTACCAGACTCAGCTTGGACAATGTCTCCCTGACACATGGCCAGGAAACTCTCAAGGCATAAGCTGGAGCAATCATGGGCTCTCCTTGTGTGTTTTCATTTCTCAGTGATCACTGTCCTTTACTGCCTATTGTCCAGTCTCTTGAAAACCACTGTTTCCAATGTTGTGTCTTATTTTTCAGTTGTTTTGGGTGGGAAGGTAAATCTGGTCCCTGTTATTCTTTCTTGGCTGGAAACCCATCAGGTACATTTTAAGCTTTGAGTCATCCATCCACACTTGGCTCCAGAGAATGGGCAGGTACCTCCTCTTCCTCCCACTTAGCAGTGTTAGGAGCCTCAGCACAGCCCCCTCCAGAGCAACACTCCTCACAATTTCCCATCATTACCCAGCACCCTACCCTGTTAGGAAGGGGTAGAACAATCCTTGCAACCTGCTCTTAACATTTTTCTTTGAAAACCCGTTTTTCATCTGGTTCCCCACTTTGGTGTATTATATTTATTTTATCTGGATATCTCAGTGAGGATTAAAGAAGATGATATACATAGAGCCTGGTACATCACAGGTGCTCAGGGAGTATAGATTGCCCCTCATTTCTCAGATTCTGCCAGCCCACCGCTCAAACAAGTAAGTCAAGCCTTGAGGGGATGGGGTGCTCAGAGCAACACCTCTTTGCAGTACCAGGTAAAGCAAGAGTCCCTCCCCCCATTTAAGCACCTGAATTAATCCCATCCACAGCTTTCAAACTTAATACCAAAGAGAAATGGACGGCATCCCGTTTTACCCCACAGACTGGATTCAAGCAAAATAAATGGGCACAGAACTAATCCCCACACACCAGGCCAGCCCTAGGGAAATTTGGAAAACAGGTAATTAGGCACGATGGAGCAGTTTGGCCTAGGAGGGAAATGACCTTGCCTACACATTACTCTCTGGTGATCAATAATTCACAGCACTGCCAGCCGAGCGTGCAGCCTCCACTCAGCCTCCCCTCTGACCAGACCTTGCGAGAGGGTCCTGAAGGCCCCATGCTCATCCCCATGTCCCACCCAGGCCTGGCGGTATCAGGGAAAAAGACTCCAAGTCTCCTGAGGGCAGGCTCCCAGGAGATCGGTGCAGCAGCCCAGAGCCAGACCCTCATCTGGGGACACACGTTCATCTTTCAAGGGGAGGCTCCAGGACCCAGCCTTCCACAGTGAGACGGGGTTCTTCTTTCCCACTGGCAGTTCCAAGCCACCCTCTCATGACACTTCCTCCATGAAGCCTTCATTGATTACTTCAATGCTTGAAGTCATTGCTGAGTCCTTACAGCATTTATTCACCATCCATTAATTTAATTAGAAATTATTGATCACCATTAAGTATCAGGCCTGCAATGGACATTGGAGCAGAGACCAATGATTAACCCACATTCCTGACTTCAAGGTCTCAAGTAAACTCGAGGGACAGATTCATGGGGAACCAGACGGACAGATGGACGAGAGCCATCCAGATGATCACAGACCACATTAGCGTTTAAACCTCAAAAATGAGGATCATACTCCTCGCTTCTCCTGAGCGTAACATTCCTGAACACGGAGCATGAGGGAATCTACACATCTCAGGCCACGAAGAGAAGGTAAGATTGGGGAACCACTCACATGGCATTGTGCAAATGCTCTAAATGCATTATTTCACTCCACCTCCAAAACCTCAATGGGTAGGCACTATTAGTGTCTCCATTTCACAGATGGGAAAGTTGAGGCTTAAAGCAGTTGAGTAATCTCTGTCAGATCACTCATGAGCAACAGATGGGAGGTGAAGCCCAGCAGCCTGGCTCTAGCACTGGGTTCCACCCTCTCCCCATGCTAAAAAACGGGCACCACCCCGTCTAGAATTGCAGGCTTAGCCCCATCATTTCATACCCCCTGCTCTGCTTTACTTTTTATCTCTTTAGTAATTATCACTAACATAGCATATATTTTAACAATTTATCTTAGTGTTGTTTGTTTCCCCCGCTTCCCCCATTTCAACCTTGGAGAATGTCAGCTCCACGGTTGCAGGGACTTTTGCTTGTGTGTTCAGTGCTGTGTTCCCACCCACCTACCACGCCCCATCCCCCCCACCCCACCCCCACCCCCGGTGCCTGGCAGGAAGTAGAAGCTCATGCAGTACTTGTTGGATGGATTAATGAATGGATGATTGGGGAAGGCTGTCAGCAACGCAGATGGCCAGCCCCTCTCCTTCCCTCCCACCACAGTGGCTCCCATAGGGAGTGGTGCAGGCTGCCCCACAAAGTTTTTGCCATGGGCCGATGGTGCTGGGCTGGCTCAGGTGTCTTGGTGGGTCAAGCCAGGGGCCATGCTGGGTGGCAGGACCATCCCAAGCATCCCTCAGGGAACCAGAGAGGCAAGTCCAGTGGGGCTGTCAGAACCCAGGGGGCCTTGGAGAGCCAAGGCAGAGGCAACAGATTCATACGGGAGGGCAGCTGGGCCTGTCACGGAGCAGGGCTGGAGTTGGGGCATCTGTCACTGTGGCTGGGATCTACCTACTACCTTGCTGCAGAGCCTGAGAACTAGGGTCCTTGAGGGCCCAATGGTGCCAGGGATGATGGGAAGAGTTGGCCAGCACCCTCGGGTTGCAAGTGACAGAAAGGCGGTCCAAACTGCCTTAGCAAAAAGGGGACATGAATTCAAGCCTCAGAAAGCAGACCCAACCTGGGGGACACATGGCCCCTGGGGCGTGAACTTCATCGGACCTCATCCGCCTCTCCTCTCTGTTTCTCCCAGGGGCTGGCCTCGTTCTCCGCCTGCTACAGGCGGACTTCTCTGGGTGTGGGGAGACCACGGCTAGCAGCAGCTCACATCTCACAGCATCTCTGCTGGAGCAGGAAAGCCGTCCCCGCTCTCTGCACTCACAGACCCCAGCCTGGACACCTGCCCACTCCTGGACTAGTCCCTGAGGCCAGGGAGGTCCCATCTTTGGCCTGCCCAGGGTCATGGTGCTGAAGAATGAGACTGGTGCTGGGAAAGACGCCACGACAGCCTCCGCCGTCCTCTGGTTCTAGCCACAGCTGCGGTGGACCACTGGCCAGGCTCCGACTCGCCCGGCTGCCAGGTCCCCTCTAGCATTCTGGCGTCATGCTGCGTTCTGCTCCCAGGCCTCACCAACACCCCTGGGTCTTGAGCCCATGCAACCTGGAGTGCGGGGAGTCAGTGCCACCTGGGCACCCCTGACTTATTTTGAAGAAGAATCCCTGGAGAATTGCTGCTGCCCCTCTCCTTCAGGGATCAGTTCCAGAACCTTCCTTCCACGTCTCAGTGGACCGGAACCCCCTTTCCCCACAGCAGGGAGCAAGCGATGAGCCCTGGGATCCCCTCCCAGGTAGACTGCCTGCACCCACATGCTTTCCAGGCTCTGATTGCCAGGACCTCACACTCAGCCACATCACCGAGAGGGCCCAGGGCATTTGGGAGACGCTGAAACGTGGACACAAGGAGCAAGACGCACCCCCCCCCCCCGCGGCAGGGAGGCCTGTGTGCAGGGCACGGGCCTCGGGTCTGGGACTGGATTTCGGGGTCGGGATTCTGACCTGCGACCAGCATGAGAGGAGCACCGAGCGGTCGCTGAGGCTGGGGCGCTGCATGAGCCGCTCCCGCCCAGGGAGCCAGAGGGATGGCCACTCCCAGAACTGGAGGCTCTCACAGCTGTCCTCTCTGCCGTATGATGAGCACCTACTGCGTGCCAGGCATGGCGCTAGGTGCTTTGCTGGCAATAGACCCGGTGGGTGTCACGGGAGCCTCTTTGCAGTTGAGGAAGTGGAGCGTCCACGCAGCCGTAAGTTCCCCGGGCGGATTCAGGCTCTCCCTAGCCTCCTTCTCTGCCTCTGGTCCTTGTGCAAATATCCCCTTCTCAGATAGGCCTTCCTGGATGTGACGCCGTTGCAAATGGCAGCTCTGTCACTCTCCGATTCCTTCCCTGCTCCATTTTTCTCACAGCACTTAGCATTATGTGATAATTTAGAAGAACATAGTTGACAAAATATCATTTCCTTGTTTGTTTATTCACTCTCCATCTGTGTCTCTAGAATATACACTTCATGAGCACAGGGCTTCACAGCTAAAACAGTACTAGGCCATAGTAAGTGTGCAATCGTTTCTGAGGGGTTGACTGAATGAATGAATGAACAGAGGTAGAGTTCATTCTTCTCCTACTTCCCCACAGTCACCAGCGTCCAGGTGCCAAGTCCTACACATTTGCTGCAATCCCCCCTCCAAGCAGAGACTGAAGGGGGCTCTGAGTCAGAGAGGATGCAGCCAGAGGAACTGGAGCTGGGCTGAGACCCCAGAAGGCACATCCTAGCTTCTTGGAGGCCGTGTTGTCCCGCCCTTCAGCCCAGCTGCCTCCAGGCCCCTGGGAAGTCCCTGTATTGGTGATAGAGGTGGGATAGAGAGACAAGGGGGGCCTGCAGGGGTCTGTACAAGGTTAGGGTTCCCAGGGGCAGCTACCAGTGTACACAGTGAAGATGCATGTACATATGTAAGTATGTATGTATGTACGTATGTATATGTATGATGGGACAGAGCCCAGTTCTCCAGGACTGGGACCAGCACCTGCCATCTGAAAGATGGAATCCTGGAGCCACAGGACACACATGGGCCTGCAAAGAGCGTGTGAGTGTGGGAGAGACACAAACTGCAGTGTACGTTCCTCCCAGCTAACCCCCTGCCCCATACATCACTCGTCTCTCTCCCTCTCTCTCACAGGCTGCTCTGCACATGTCCATCCACCCCCTCTACCTGCTCCCTCTCCCCTTCCCTCCCATTCATTTGTTCAATAACCACTTGCTGAGTGAGCTCTGGGGACCAGGTGTAAATCAGCCTGGGGACAGGCCCTGAAGGGCCCATGGTCCAGAAGAAGGATCCTAAGCTCTAATATAAGTGTGTGTGTCGGGGGGAGGTCCTGGGGCTGCAGGGACACCAAACACAAGGAGTACAGATGGGCTCAGCAAAAGCTTCAGAGGGAGCGAACATTTGAGCTGGGGCTTGAAGAATAAGTAGGAGTTTGTGGGAGGAAAATGCAGGTAAGGAGCCAGCAGGTAAAGGCCCAAATTCAGTCTCCGCCACTCAGCAGCTTGGACCTCCTGCTGGCCCTTCCCCAGGGCCCTCAGCCTGCTTGTCCATGAACTAAGTAAGTGAGTCTCACCCCTCTCAGATGCACAAACCCCCAGCACAGGACCTGGCACAGAATGGTCCAGTGAACTGCGGTTTCCCCTCCCCACCAAGTGCCCCCCTCTTCCTGCCACGATGTCCTCCCAGTGGCCTGAGAACCCCACATGATCTGCTTCCCTCTCCCCACTCCTCCCACCTCACTCCACTCTAGACACACTGGTCTCCCTGCTGTTTCTCCAACCTGCCTCAGGGCCTTTGCACCTGCTGGATTATCCCTCCACCTGTATTGTTCTTCCTTTATCTCCAAGGCTTAGTCTCTCACTTCCTTTAAGACTTTGCTCAAATATTTTCTCAGTGAGGCCAACCAGGGTTCTCCTATTTATGACTGCAACCCCCACACAAAAGACACTCACCCCTACTCCTGGACCCCTTTACTTGGCTTTGCTTTTTTTACTTTGTAGCATAAAATACACTTTCCTTGTTAAGTGTGACTATTATTTAGTATCTGTTCCCCCCAACCCCTCCTCCGAATGTCAGCTTCACCAGGTGGGGACTTCTGTCTCACTCACCCTGGAACCCCAACAGGGTACACAGAAGTATCAGTGAGTGCTCAGAAAGTGAACAGAGCTGTTGAGAGGCTGGAGCCCTTTGTAAGCTAAGTGAGGACAATGAATCCTGACCATCAAGATGACACACTTCACACACACTGCTAGTTTTGCACACTAGCAGTGCTGTGTTAGAAATCGGACACGTACTAAATCAATTTACTGCAAACTAAAAGATAAATTCACGCTGGTGTCTTTCTGAAGGAGAAGCCATGTCAGCATCTGGCTCTCCACCCTCGCAGCTGAACGCACCCGGGAAGGATTGCAGACATGGAGGGTTGGCTACCCTTGGCTTTGCTCTAATTGCTGCTAACCGTTCCTGTCCTCTGGGCTGCATTTACAGTCCCCCCCCAGCCCGCAGCCCGATTAATGGTTTTTTCTTTCGTCAGGAGCCGCAGCTTTAAAATCACACCCGCCTCAGTGTACTCTGTTACCTAGCAACAGCCATAAATCAACAGAACATGCTGGAATGTTCAAGCCAACCTCCCCGGCTGTTAGACGCTTCGGCTGTTTTTAAACCCAAACATGTTCATTTGCCACCATGCCTCTTCTGCACCCACCTTTCCACCACTGGCTTCACAGAGCGCCTGGGTTTGTATATTTTTAAACTATCTTATGCCCAGTCTGATTTTGCAGCAGGAATCTTCTGTGCTTTCTCAGAACTCTGGCCATTGCCCAGGAATGGGACCAGGCCTGTCTGTCCAGCCTGCATGCTTGCACTTCAGCCCTGCAGCCAGGGGACCTGGATCAACCCTGCAGAGTGTCTGGACACAGGGGATCTCGGTCCTTATTGCAGGTCCCCAAATAGCCTGTCCACATGGTACCCTGAGTGGCTTGGTATGGATGTGAAGTCCCTCCCCTGGGTACCCTCACAATGACGTCTGTCCTGCATTCACTCATTCGTTCGTTCAATCATTCAGTCATTCAACAAACAGTTACAGAGCACCTCCTTCATGCTAGGCCTCTATAGGCAGAGAGGAATAAGGCCTGGTCCCTGCCTTCAAAGACCTCTCATTCCACTGGGGAGGAGCTGACCGGAACACAGCAATGCAGAAGCGACACAATCTCCCAGGCTGAGGCCATACTCAGTGCAGACACTCAGGCTACAAGAGGCAACAAGACAAACCCCATACCAAACTCTAGATGCTTGCACGACAGAGTGGCAAGCCGCACCATGCACAGATGTTCACGGTGCACAGGGTGGGTTGGAGAAGGGCCACATGACTGGGCAGGCCAGACCAGCCTTCATGGAGTGGGGGCTGCCTGCACTGAGGCTGAAGGAGTGGGAAGGCATCAGCTGGCCTCTAGGCATGGGAAACAGGGGAGCACGGTGCACCTGGCCCCTCCCTAGCTGCCTGCCATCCAGTGTGGCTGGAGAATCAGGGGCTGACCCCGCAGTGCAGACTCCAGCAGAAGAGCTGTGCTGAGCTGCTGCCACCAGGGTTTGAAGCCGGTGGGAGACAGGAGCAGAAAGTTTTGATCCGGAGGCCTCTCTCTGGCTGCTGGGAGCAGAGGCTGCCGTGGGGGTGAGGACGGAGGCAGGTTGCTGACCGGGATGTTGCAATTGCAGGGCCTGGGGTGCTGGTGGCCTGGCTTGGTGACTCGCTGCAGGCAAGAGGAGGGGAGACACTGAAAGTCCCAGAAGCTGGACTGGACTGGTGCAGGGACAGAGGGGCTGTGGGGGAGGAAGGGAGAACCCTGTGCCTGTGCAACGAGGGAAGCTGGGCACGAGGGAGCAAATGCGGGAAGAGGCATAGGAGAGCCTGGCCCCGCCCACGAGCTCCCCACCGGCCGAGGGCCCTATCTCCAGCTGCCAGCCCGCCTGCCAAGTGGCCTCCACAACCAGGACAAGAGTCCTCTAGCCGAGGCCATGGTGTTGCTGAGCCAGCCAGCAGCTCTTTGGGTCCAGGTGTGAGAGCCTGGACCAGGCTACGGAGGGGCCGCCACACAGCCTGCCCCTCTGCCACTGGCACGGCCGCCTCACCAGAGCCCACCCTAGTGACAGCAGGTCGGTGTCAGCGAAGTGAAGGCCACACCAACCAGGGAGGAGGCTGGGCCCCGGGACATGGTGGCAGGGGCAGCCAAGGCAGTTGATGGGCTGGACATGAGGTCCACTAACTGAGACCCAAGAGAAGGGACAGTGCCGGGCGTGGTGCTGGCACATGGTGGAGGCCTAGGGCCTGGTGCAGAGAGATGACTGATCCCATGTGGGCTGAGTGACATTTCTGTCTGCCCCCCACGTCCTCCCAGTGAGGGGACAGGCTTGAGGTCCCATCTGGGCTCATCCCAGGCTCTAGCATTGATTCAGAAGGAAAGCAATGGTGGGGGGAGGGGAGAGGGGTGAGGACACTTCCTCTGCCTGGAAAATAGAGATAGAGGTCCCCGAGCCTTTCTCCTCGGGCTGCGGAGAACATCAGCTCCAAGAGAAGGGATCAAAGGCTTTGGAACAGCACCGCTGTCCAGGAGGGAGGAAGGCTCTAGGCTAGTTTTCCCAGCTCTCTCCTGATGGGTGTGTGAAAATGAAGCAAGTCAGGGCTAGTGGGAGGCAAGGCGGGAGGGAGCAGAAAGTAGCAAGAACAACTCAGTGCAGGAGGGTTATAACAAAAGAATAACTACCTGGCTCGTCTTGCAAGATGGTTCCAGAGGCTTGCAGGCAATGAGGCTTGATTTGAGCCTA